ATTAAACTTCTTGCATTCCATTGTAATATTAACATGTACTATTTTCATCTTCTGGTCCTGGTCTCCCATCTACCTCCAACTTTTTGTTTATGTTCTCCCATGTTCCTTCTTTAAACCCCAAGAACTTTTCAGCTCCTCTCACTATTATTTTGATCTTCTCAGTTTTGTGCTTGGCTTGGTCAGTGCAGTTGATAACATATGCTACGAATAGTATTAGTTTTTCTACTGATATTGTAATATTTTCTTCAGACGGTGCTTTGCTTTGATGTAGAATTTGACTCGTTGTTTGTTCAATCTCTCTTGTTTTCTGTTCCTTCACGTTTTTAACTGCTTCTGCATAGCTTATGTTTTTAGTCATTTTAACCTGCACTATTTCTTTTGCCTTCTTCCTTACTTCACATCCTCCATACGTAACTATATGTTTCCCTCCACAGTTACAACATTTTTCTTGTGCTTCTTCTTTACATTCTTCAAATCTGTGGTCTTCACCACATTTTGGACATCTCTGTTTCCCTTTACATACTGCTGCTATGTGTCCATACCTTTGGCATTTGAAACACCGGAGTGGTGGAGGGATATAAGGTCTGACCTGAAAATTAATATATCCTATTTTGATGTTTTTTGGCAACTCCATTCCTTTAAATTCAATGAGAATTGACAAACTTCCTACTTTTTCTCCATTCATTGTTTTTGATAATCTTTTCAAAGTATTCACTTTTCCACCTACAATACTTCTCTTAATTTTATCAAGATCTTCTTCCAGAGGGATTCCATAAATCACTCTAATTTTTTTTATTTTCTCCCATGATTTTCTTCTCCAACACAGTTTTTTTGCAAATATTATCCACATTTAAAGCCTTATTCTTTTGTTCTTGTTGTGTTTTTCACCTTATTTCTCCACCCGAGTCTGAAGTTACCTTTTCAATCCTGCAGGAGTCAGTCAAGATATGCACATCAGATACGACAAACGCACCTTCAAATTTATGAATATTTAATAAGTAAAGAAACTCAGAAGTCATAAAGTAGTCACAGCTTCACAAGCATAAACAGTGGATTAGTTAAATGCAGTCGTTATTTTAACATATTAAAAACTGGATGCATCCATTTTAAACTGTACAATACAACCTTGAAGTTGTCTTTCTCTGCTCCAAACTGGCTGCTGCTGCTGCGTCTCTTCACTTCTCCCCCCTCTGCTCACACTGTTTCGAGCAGAAACCTGCACTCCCTTTGTCTCAGAAAAACAGGGCGTTCCTTCACACAGCAAAACTAACTTTTCAGCGCGCTCTGAGTCTGCCTGCGATGGGATTGGTCAGTTTCAATCCAATCAAAAGTGGTTTACATCGTGTTACATTATGTAAACAGGAACAGCCTTCAATCTGTGGGAGCCTCTTCAAAGTAAAACAGGAAGTGGGTCAATTTCAAAATAAAATAAGAATAGGAATGTTAGATTCAACAAAGAACACAATCTTTATTTCACAACATTCTTCATTTTTACAAACTACTAATAGGTTTCCATCTCTCAAAATCTTTACCATTTCAACATCTCCAATTTTCTTTTTAATTTCTCTTGACACCACAATGGGGCTGATGTTATCTTGTTCTTCTTCATTCTTAAGTTTTAATATTATTATAAATTCCTCCCTCACAACTTTCCTTCAAACTGTCCTTTCTTCTTCTGAACTACTCCCTTCCAGTTCTCGTTTACTACCTTGAGTATCACTAATTCCCTTTCCTTCATCTATTTTATTTCTTCCACGTCCTCTCCCTTTCCCTCTCCCCACTGGCGTCCACCCCTCAAAATCCATGTCCTCCTCACCTCCCATCTCCACCTCCATCCAAGCCATTCACATACCAGTTTATGCCCAAATCCGCCTTTTCCAAATGCGATATGTTTCTATATATTTGTTTGTTTGTTTTTCGAGCCAGGCGCATCTGCCGCGGTCTTGATTGATTAGTCCAATTCCTCACAGCCTCTCCTCTCGAACTGAATAGTTCTTCTTCTTCTTCTGTGAGGTTTTACGGCAGCTTACATCCCTCAAGGTGTAATACCGCCATCTAAAGGTACTACTTAGAACTAGTAGTTATAAGTGCTCCGATAAACTTAGATTCTCTTGTATAAACCTGTTGTCCTCAGGAAATACATAAAGTATTTGCGTCCATATTTACTGGATCCCCATTCTAATATGCTCTTCAAACATACAGGACTTCTTACGTCATTTGTCATTTGGTCCAGTAGACGTTTCCTTTCGGTTTAATATTTTAAACAGTCCAAAATAACATGTTTCACAGTTTCTGTACTTTGGCAAAAGTCACAATGTCCACTATTATGTTTCCCTATAATAAACAAAGTACTGTTCAGATTTGTATGACCTATTCTTAATCTTGCTAATATAGATCCCTCCCTCCTATTTCCTCCACAATACCTTGAACTGTAGACTGTATTCTGTATTGCATATAGTTGTCTTCCCCTTGTTTCATGTTCCCACTTCTGTTGCCATAACTGATTAATATGTTTCCATACAATACTTTTACCTACTGTTTTGCATAATTGGATATTTATGTCTACATTGTCACTATTATTAGCATTTTTAGCAATCTGATCAACCTTTTCATTTCCCTGAATCCCTCTATGTGCAGGTACCCACATAAACACAATACTTCTTCCTTCCTTGACCAGCTGAGAATGAACAATCTTAGTTCTGATTAATAAATCCAGTCTTGATTTTGAAGTTCCTGATCTAATGCATGCCAAGGTGAACTGAATAGTTCCAGGAAGTGTCGACTTTTAAAGAGTTCTCACTTTAGGACCTCCTGATTGGTTGAAGCAACCAACAGGGGGTGGTTCTAGTGATGTCAGAGGGTCATTACAAGTCAAGAAAACAGCAGGAACGTTTTGAGAACGGTTAGTTACAGACGAGAAAATATTTTGGAGAAATGACAGACTTACAGGTGCCAGTTTTCTTATTTACTGTCTGAGAGTTTTAAAAACAAAGCACTTCGTTCTTATACTTGCTTCCTGACTCTTGACCGAGATCACTACTTCTCATTTAGACAGAAGATCAAAAATGCATAAATACATTGTAAAATAGACATTTTAACTTGATTTCTAATTTAAATGAGCATTAAAAAATCATTAATACTGTTTCACAGTTGATTTAAAATGAGTGGTTCATTTCAACATTTAAAAATGGTATGAACTAAACACACTTTTGATTTATCAAGATATTGTAAAATAGTAATGATAATATAGAAGAAGAGTGTTATTCCAATTGATTACTTGACGATACAATTAGACACTCTCTGGATGAGCTAATTTGTATTTCTGGATTCAAATCAATGAAATAACAGTTCCTGTCCCATGAAGGTCCTCAGAGGCAGGTTTTGGTCGGAGGCCGAGTCCACTACAACCCTAAGAGTCTGATGCTCTATCGACTGAGTTATCCAGGCACAATCCATCCATCCATCCATCCATCCATTTTCTTTACCCGCTTATTCCATTTTTGGGTCACGGGGGTCGCTGGTGCCCATGTCCAGCAATCACTGTGCGAGGGGCGGGGTAATAATAATAATAATGAATTTAATTTGTAACGCACTTTTCATTAACAAAAATCTCAAAGTGCTGGACGGGTCGCAAGTCCATCACAGGGCCACATAGAGACAAACAACCATTCACTCTCTCACTCACACCTAGGGACAATTTAGAGTTACCAATCAGCCTAACATGCATGTTTTTGGACTGTGGGAGGAAACCGGAGTACCCGGAGAAAGCCCACGCATGCACGGAGAGAACATGCAAACTCCCTGTCAGTTTCATTTAACCTGTATTTATGTTGGTATGTGTAAACGAGCCACGAGGACTCACTTTCAAGAGAGTCCTGTAAAAAGTACACTTCGCCTGAAAGGGACTTGAACCCTGAACCCTCAGATTAAGAGTCTGA